TGGGCACGATGATGAAATTGTAACGGATACAATTTGCGGTACAAGTGCAACTAAACAGGATGATGGGATCTCAATCGGCGAAGTATCTGAAGGTGAATCTTTAAATAGTGATGTAGAAACAAGTGCTGTGGAGACGACTGGCTGTCATGATTTTGATGACATAGCGGATTGGCCAAAAATTTACAGAATTTCCAAATTGAAAAGATAGTTTTCAGAGGACCAATACGAGGCAACATTAATCATTACCCAAAAGACGGTGTAGGGCGATCATTTAACAAAATGTATTTCCAACGAACGACAGCAAATGGTGAATTAGTGGTTAGAACGTGGCTTGTGTATTCGTCCAAATTAGATCGAATGTTCTGTTTTTGTTGCAAAATATTTAGTAGTGACGAATTTGCTTTAGCAAAGGCAGACACAAATGATTGGAGACACATGGCGTTGATTTTAAAGAGACATGAACGAAGCACCGAGCATTTTGACTGTTATGGGAAGTGGATTGAGCTAAAAAAGCGGCTTTCTAGTGGTCAAACCGTTGATTCTCTGTCGAACAAATTGTACTTGAGTGAAGTACAACATTGGGATGAAGTGCTCAAGAGAATAATTTCAATTATTTTAACGATGGCCTCAGAAAATATGGCATTTAGAGGGTCTTCAGACAAACTATTCACCGAAAATAATGGGTTTTTTTTGAAACTTGTCAAGTTGTTCTCAAAATTTGATCCGGTGTTAGAGAAGCATGTAAAACGGGCAGTAGAAAATCCACACAAGACTCATTATTTGGGAAAAGATATCCAGCAGAAAATTATTTCATTGGTCGCCAAAGCTACAAAGGATAAGATTTTGGACATGGTCAAAAATGCAATGTATTTCTCAGTTGAATTTGACGGTGAAATCGTTAAGCGATACTAGATGGGAAAGCCATGTTAATGCCGTTAGTGCTTTGAAGACCGGATTAAAAGGCATTTATTCTGCGTTAAAAGAAGTCGTTCAATTGCAAAAAGATTCACTTACACGTATAACAGCGGAATCAATCGCATCAAAATTCGACAACTTTGAATTCATTTGTGGACTAATTATCTGGCACGAGGTATTAACAGGAGGGATGTCAGAGTTCTTGCAATTCAGCTATTCTACAGATTCTATAGAATTCTACGCTAGTACAGATACATTTATCACTAACCAAGTTTTATTCAAGCGGAAATGTATAGAATTCTATAGAATTCTACGTACAGTACTACATGTAGAATTCTGTAGAATTCTAGGTTAGCATAAATATACAAAATATTGACCAAGTTTGAGTCAAGCGGAAATGTATAGAATTCTACGTTAGTACGAATATAATTGATTAGTGACTCACTAACATGCACGGCAGACCCGCCCCGCTCCCACTCCCAGTCAGTGATAGAATTCTATACATTTCCGCTTGTCTCCCACTCGTCTAATATATTGTATATGTGTAGTAAGGTAGAATTCTATAGAATTCTACGTTAGTACTATACGTAGAATTCTAGGTAAGCATAGATATATAATATATTAACCAAGTTTGAGTCAAGCGGAAATGTATAGAATTCTATAGAATTCTACGATAGTACAGACATAGTTGCTAAACTAGAATTCTACATTAGCATAGATATTCTCTTTATTGACCAAGTTTGAGTCACGCGGAAATGTATAGAATTCTATAGAATTTTGCGTTAGTACGAATATAGTTGATTAGTGACTCACTATCATGCACGGCAGACCCGACCCGCCCCCACTCCCAGTCAGTGATAGAATTCTATACATTTCCGCTTGTGAAATCAGCAGCAACTGCGTTGAAAAGGACAACTGAATTTATCGTTTCTCGTAACTGTGAAGATTCCTTCGAGAAATATATTTCACAAGCAAAAGTCCTGGCAATAGATGCGGATTTAACGGACGATTTTAGTCCTGAGTCAGAAAATCGGATCCGAAACAGAAAGAAACGATAAGATATAGAGAAAAAGATTTACTTTTGATACTGTTTCGATGCATACTGTATGCACTATTACGCTCACTAACAAGTAGACTCTGATCTTGACTTCATATACCTGATCAGGAAATAAACAGGTCCTGACCAGAAAAACAGGACAAGGACTTTTTTACTTACAGTTTCCTGACCAATGAGCTGATCAAACAAATTGGACATTCACTAGGGTTGGGCCAAGATCAGAGTGTCTCACGAAATATCTTTCTTTTATCATTTCTAACTAATGTAGTTTACTTGAATAAACGCCTTTCATTGTTTAGTCACTGATGTCAGCCCAAATGTTTCGCTTTGTAGCTGACATTATATGCTATTTGCTTATCGAGTCGAAAAGTTCCAAATGCACTCTGAGAGCTCTTGTTAAAAATTTTCAAGTAATCCTATATCAGGAGTCTGTTTCCTTTATATATGACAAACAAACTTAAAGTGAAAGAGTTGAAAATCCTCTATCATCCGTCGCTGCAGTAATGAGCAGTCAATGGATGAAAATCTGAGAAGAAATCCTTTGTTTCACCATTTTCTCCACCATAACCGAGTAGTCATTTTCTGTAACGTTGAATATTTAGCAAAGAACAGCAAACCGTGAAAGACGGCTATAATAAGGCTTTGAGTCATATCAAAATACCCATTATGACAAAATATAATCACCAAGTGCTCTAACGTAAAGACAGAGGCCGTTACAGTGAAACATAGCGTGTAAAACGATGAGTCATCGGTTTTTAGTTGCCAAATCAGTTATTGATCCACTCGATAAATCTTTTCTTGACGTATAAATATTTGTAAGTTTCGTTCAACTATTGTTTTCGCAGCATTATATTTTTGTAAAAACTTCATAGTTTTATATTAAAAAAATACTTCATGTCATTGTAGCAATAAGACTTGAAAAAATCAAAACTTTTTTCAATATTGAAACACAAGTTTATATATATAACGGAATATAACATCTATATAGATGTTATATTCCGTTTCTTTTTATACAGACAACGTGGAGACATATCCCGATCGGATATACGTCCCAATCAGGATGTATATCCCGATGTGGATATCTCTTTTCACAGCAAAATTTTTTAATATCTCTAACGGGATATAGTCTGAAAAAATATAAGGTAGTTGATCTGCAGGAATCAGTAGTTGGAAAATTCACCGTTAAACACAAAGCACGTATACTTATTATTAACATGTGTTAATATTTGCTCTAATATTTCAAATTTTCTTCTCTCAATCTCCATCTTCTTTATCTTGTTTTTTATTTTTGACATTAGACTGACGTTCATCTCAGGCTCACTTGTGTCCATTAGTTCAGCAGGCTTAGCAGAATTGTCTTTGTTTGCCCATCTTGCAGAAAACCATGCAGCGTTCTTTGATTCTTAAACTGCTCTGCCAGCCTCTTTTCTCGATTTTGTTTGTTCTGCCAACCAGACAATTTCCGCTTCTGATCTGATTAGACTGCCAAACAAAACATCGGCATTGTCCGACGCACTTTGTACTAACACTCGAAGCTCATCATTCGAAAAATTTTTACATCGTTTTTTTCTTGCTTTCTTTTACTATGACAGACATCTAAAAGTGGAAAGATCAGAGTAGACACGACAAAAGACAACGCGCAATGGAAAATGCAGCCCTTTTTACCTAAAACTAAACTTTTTCGAAACTAGGCATCGAGATTTATGGATGCCTACTTTCGATCTTATTTTTCCTCTTCTCAGTCCATGTTTCTCCTAACACCATGACTTCATCCTATGCACCTCAGCATTGTAGTGAATAAATCTCTTAGGTCAATGCACTTACTTAACTTAAGTGGAAATTTTCCACGTAACGCTAAGTCGTACTTAAGTTAACGTTCAAGAAACAGACTGAAGTGAAAACTTAAGTTTCACTTAAGTATCACTTAGTTTTTCCCTTAAGAATCCACTTAAGCGAATACTTAAGTTTTTTTGAGAAACAAGCCCCAGAACTTGACGCTCCTCAAAAAAGCGATTGAAAGCCAGAGGACCTTCGCTGCTCCGAGACAAGCATCCAAAATGCAATCGATAATGAGATTCAGTCATTAAAGTTTTAATATAACTAATATTTTTCTACGACCTGTTTAAGACCTATGAAGTGCTTTGAAACGTTTGAAAGTAAATTATAACTTTTTTAACAGGTGACTTGATCTCAATATGGGTGTTCTATTTCATATTCGTGACCGTGTTGACATTCAAATTCATTGACGAAGATCAGGTTTCAATCAAGAATAAAAACAGCTGCTGATTCACTAATGTATGTGCGTCAAAACTGAAATTGAGAGATTAGACGTCACATTTCATTTTCGAAAATAAAACATTGGGTTTCGTTACAAAAATTAATTACATTCTCTTTCGATAGTAAAAGAAAAATGTACTTTTACTTCATCGTGCTGTCATTATTGTCTATTGTGGCTGTTGTTGTTCAAACGACTCCGCAGATTTTAGTTGTTGATAGTGACAGCAGCCAATGCAATGCGACAACAGCCACATGGACAGTTTGGTATAACACTGAAGATCCATTAATGTCAAATGGAAATGATGTTGAGAGTTTAAAAGAGATTCGAGAGAAGTATCCACATGCTATTTGTGATAAGCCAATAACGATTGAATATGATCATAATAGTACAAGAACGAACACGTTTTACCAGACAATCGTCAATCTAAATGGTGTATTTTGTATGGGTACGCTTAATTCACCGTGTCCAGATTATAGAGTCCGTTTTTGTTGTCCAAAAGAAAAAGCTGAACAATCTCAGCAATGTGGTTTGTCGCATTATTCTCCAACGTTAATGCCTAATCAACGTATTGTTAATGGCGTGCAAGCTGTAGCACATTCATGGCCATGGGCAGTAAGTTTACAATACAATGGCATACATGATTGTGGTGGTGTCATTATTGACGAGTATCACATATTGACAGCATCCCACTGTCTTGATTACGAGAATGACTTGCAGAATTACAAAGTCAAAGTGGGAGCACACCATAAATACACTTCAGGACAATCCTATCCTATAGAACGATTGTATCTACATCCATTGTACGATGAAAGTCGATCAACAAATGACATTGGAATTATCAAACTTGCAAAACCTATTCAATTTACAAATCGAGTACAACCAATATGTTTAGTGGAAAATGTATGTTATGATGTTAGGTTAATAATCAGTTAAAATTCCATCTATCATCGTTGGTGAGATGCCGCCGCAACAGTGGTCAAAATGGGTCTGTTCATAACTGAAAGACATCTCCGTCAAATTAATTGATGACGGAAATTAATTAGTTCGGAACGGTCGTAAAATGACGAAAACACATGTGGCTAGAGGTCAACAGAGCCGGATTGTTGATATTTTACTATCCCGAATAATGGTGAGCGTCAAAAGTCAAGAATTCGAAAAAGTCTCATTAACTTCCACAAAGATGTCTCTCTAACAACAAATTTAGACTGAATATCAGAAATATGGCTCTACCAGACTCTAGCCACATGTGTCAGCTTCAATTTAAGACCTTCCCGAGCACTCCATCGTGTTGCGTTACCGAGAAATCCTGCAGTTATGAGATGCTGTCATGGTGAAAGTCGATTTCCAGCTATCGTGGCGCTAGCGTCTGATGGATATTTTAGGGCTTCTAGCAAAAGTCTCATAACTTTACTTCATCCGGAGCTGGGTGATGTCTTATTTTGATTAGAAATGTTTGCTCTACATTTCAGCGTTATTGCAAGTATTTTTCGATGTATTTTTTTATCAGAAGATAAAAAAGGCTCGAATAACTTGAAAATTTCTTTTTCTAGATAACGGAACCGCCGTTGGATGAAACTGTGTTTATAGCAGGATGGGGGACTACAATTGTTAACGACTCGAATAGTGCAAGTGATGTTTTATTACAAGCTCGTTTACGTGTAATTAGTGATTGTTCAATGTATTTTGCTTATACACATCAAGAACAAATTTGTACGATGCCCAACGGTTTTTCTGTTAATGATCACGGGTTTGTATTCATTTTCTTCAAATTTTATTTTAAGTTGGTTCATTTTTATTATTTTTAGGTCATGTCAAGGCGATAGTGGTGGCGGCTTATTCTACAATAAAAATAATCAATGGTATGTTGCTGGCGTTGTGAGTTATGCCAATAGATGTGGCCAATACACTTTTCCAACCGTATTTACAAAAACAAGTGCATACATTAATTGGATTCGTTCAATTATCAGTAGTTAAGAACGAAAAATAAACTTTAAATATTTTTGTACACTATTGTCAGCAATAAATGAAATTAGACGCTTAAACGTCTAGTAATAGCTAGGAGTCCCAGCCCATGCTATTTCTACTGAATACATCAAAATATGTCTAAAAGTAACGTAAATAGGGTTATGAAAACTGGAGGATTTTCATTACTATGCAGGTACAATAAAATTTCTTCCGATCTGTTCTTAGCAAGAAAATTTTTTTTTAGAACTACTTTAAGCTAGCTAAAACGGAACAATCAACTAACTAAGCCGAACTGTCGCGATCGGAGAAGGGGCTCTCTTGTGTTTTGGGCACAATATTTTATGGAGGTTGATCTTGAAATTCTCAATTACACTTTACAATGCCGCAAGTGACCGAACAGTAAGTTACCTTAAAACTAATCTATCACTTTTAAATTATATACACACTTTTCTGTCCTGGTTCATGTTACAAACTAAATGTTAGAATTATTCGCAAATTCCCTTTTTTATTCCACACAAGTTGACTTTAAATTCCGAAAATATTGCATAAAGTTTTTTCTTTCGGTTATTCATTTCGATGAAACATGGGTTCTTCCTTTTGTCTGCAAAAGCTTACTTCATCCAAGAAAACACCTTTGCCTTCTTCGTCTGCCACTCCGAAGAAAAGAGCAGAAGCTATTCAACAGCTTTTGCCAACACCTGCTACTTCAATCAACCCCAAAACTCATACCTTAGAGAACGTACTGGATGCAAGTACTTGGAAAAATTGGCAAGTGTTTTCAAAATCTCAGACTTGCCGTGTACTTTCAGAACTACTTATCAATGATAAAAATACTTGCTTTTATTACTAAGAAGTACTTTGTGAAAGTCCTTGACAAGTAAGCGCTTTTTTATCACCATAAACTGAAAAGAGCGTATTTAAAAACAAAAAGGGATTTTCTGTTTAACCAAAAAACTAAAAAGGGCTTTTTAAAAAGAGTCAAAGGGTTTTCTAGCTTTGGTAAAAGCCAGAAGGATTTCTTTTGCTAAAGCATTTGGTTTAGGGAAACATCATTTTTGGTTTTCCAAGGAGCAAAGGATTTTCCAGTTTGAGCAAAAAATCAAAAGGACTTTTTAAAAAGAGTTACTCGAACACTTTATATTTCAAAATCCAACAAACAATTTATCTTAACGTCGGTGAACTGAAAAAGAAAACTTTTAATACGAGTTCTCTCAAAATAAAAGTGTAAGGCAATTGACATACTGCAGTATGTCGATTATCTTAAAAACATGGTGAAATCATGATTTCACCATATTTTACCCGGTTTTCTCTTCGGGAACATAATGCTTTAATTCTGCTTTAGACGGGTTAGTACCGCTCGCCACTATGTATTTACATGAATACTATACCTATGCTTAGGAAAACGTGTTTTCTTTATGGACGTCAGACGTTGAATAATACAAGTTCACAAAGTGAATTATTAAACGACAATAGAGAAACAGTCGAATAATATTCCCTTGGAAATAATCCAAGTACTTGCAGTTTTACTTACTACAGTTAGATCGAAGAGTAGAATGTCGAAAACCTAAAATGTAGAAAATAAAAATGACGAAGTGCAAAATGTCGAACGGGAATATCAACGAAAATGTGAGTTCTGGAAGTGGACTGGTATCTCCAAAATATTTCTTGTTCATAGTTCTGCCGAGAGATCTGCAAATCTTCTGTGCAGTCTGTCATTTTGTTTGTATGTGAAATGTTTTGCCGTTCTGTTTGATGAGGTGGCATCAATAAGTATAGATCATAGTCCATTCAGTTCAATAGATTTGTACAAAGTATTATTTTACTATTGCCAAGTGGATAGACAGAAACAAAGCACTCTCTAAAATTTACATACGAGCTCTTAACTATTTATTCTATCTTGTTACGAAATATCTGTACCGTCGAAGACTAATTTCAACATGGTAACTCCTGCAGTGTCATTTATCAAGAGTAACAAAGGAAACGAATTGCTGGTTCTTGATTCTTACATATTTCGATGCAACAAGAAAACAGCAGCAACTAAATACTGGTCATGTGAAGAAGGTGATTGTTCAGCAAAGGTACATACAGATTTGAATGGTGCGTTCTTAAAATTCACAGGTAATCACCAACATTTGTCAAGTCCAGAGAAGGTTGAAATTCGAAATTTCAAGCAAAGAGTGAAAATACGAATGGTCAGTGAAACTACGGCCGTTGCTGAGATATACGATGAGGAATTAGCGAAACAGAATTTCTCTTAAACAGCTGCAGCAATCGTTCCATCATCGTTCGAATGGTGTCTGTGCAATTTACGTTAATTAACGGGATACAATATATTTTTTCTTGTTTAGGATCATCGTAGAGCACGTCGAAAAATTACTCCTGTTCTTCCGTATTCGTCTATATTCGATATTCCCGATCTATATGCAACTACACACAACCAAGAACAATTCATATGTACTGATCGAGTTAAACGTAAAAAACGTTTAATTCTGTTTGCAACCAAAAGACAACTCAAATTCTTATTTGATGCCAAACAGATATCAATGGATGGTACATTTGATAGTTGTCCTCCTAATTTCGACCAGGTCTACACAATTCATGCTGTGAAACATGAGAAAAGCAAGTGAACGTCATCTTCTCGCTGAATCTCATATTTGAGATGTATCTTTTCAGGTTTCCCCTGTGTTATTGGTTTATTAGCTGATCGAGCTCAACGTACATACGTCGAATTATTTCGGGAGCTGAAAGATCATGCCACTAATCTCAAATGAATTTCAACCCGTCGCGAATAACGAGTGCTTTTGAGAACGTTCTGATAAAAGCTGTGGCATTTGAAGTAAGAACTACTGGGGAATATCGATTGAACTTCTCTTTGTTTCTTTCTTTAGTTCCCTCAAGCACATCACAGTGGATGTTATTTCCATTTTACTCAAGCGACCTATCGCAATATTCAAACACTCGGTCTCGCAACGGCATATAGAGATGATGAAGATTCAAGAAGTGCATGTCGAAAACTGATGTCATTGGCTTTAATTCCATCAGGTGACGTCAAAATTGCTTTTGAAGAGTTACAAGACGATTCTGCCCCTACACTACGTCCGCTATTCAATTATTTCTCACGTTTCTGGTTAAATGAAACGCCCATTCATTTATGGAATGTTTGCGGGACGAGTCGACGAACTAATAATGCTTCAGAAGGTATATCTTTAGTTCCATCTGGTTTGAACCTAATGGTTGTTTATGTAGGCTGGCATAATCGATTCAATGTGCGTGTGAACAAACACCACCCGAATATTTGACATTTCATTAATTCTTTGAAAGATGAGGAGACCCATTTTCGCCATTCGGTTCTTCAACAACAAGCAGCTGCAAAAACGCGGAAATTGATTTAGCAGAATTGTTACAAGGACTATCATTTATCGCTGCAAAAGACAAAAAAAAGGAAAAAAGAAGTAGTCTACTTGGCGATTAATCCTTCGCAAAACTGTTAGCTATTTTTCTGTTTTATTTACAAGTGTTGTGCTCTATCTAATTTCTTCGAGAACACTACGTCTCTTTATTATACAAAGAAGATTTGCAGATCTCTCGGCAGAACTATGAGCAAGAAATATTTTGGAGATACAGTGAGGCCTCGCAGTGATCCTGATTTCCTGATTTTTTTTAAGTCGTCCTGATTTTCCTGATCTTTGTTGCTTTTCGAAACCAGGTCATTTCCCTTGAAGAAAATGTTGGTGAATATGTGGGCATTTTTGCTTTCTACGTTTTAGGTTTTCGACATTTCAACTTTTCGACATTCTACTCTTCGATCTTATCCATTCTGCGTTTCCACTTTCGGTGTTCTGAGTTTTCGATCAAAGGCATACATACCCTCCTCCTGTACGACGATGACGATATCCTCGTCAAACGTCGCAAAAGCAAAATGTCGAAGTTTTTGTTCTTATTGTGCATGATTTTGATTGGAATACAATGGACGGTAATGCTACATTAAATGAATTACGTTCAATTATTCAGTATATTAAAATATTTAAGCAGTTAGATGAGTGTGTTGACTATGAACAAAGTGTTGAAATAAAAACACTAGTACAAAGTGTTGCATATAAAAGTATGCTCAAATGATTTAATTGGGCTTGTGTCATTGGGTAAAAAAACAATTTTGATTATAACGGTAACTTTAACAATAAAGACGAAGCCTGTTCAATTATCATTATCTAGTATAATCATGAGTTTCGACTCAGCCTCGAAGTTCCGATACTCTAAATCACACACAATCTGGAAAGAGCACACATTTCAGAATCTCGGAACTTCAGTGTTGTTCGATTACACTACTCTCTGAACTCAGCATGTTCAGAATATCACAATCACAGTATATCAGAATTTTCAGTATAGTCGCATGTTAGCATCCTCTATTTAACTTATAATTATTACTATGTTCAATCATCGTCTGCAACAGCAGGAAACTTAACTGCACATCATTTATGCGAATTTTGATCATCCATAACATATTATGTTTACAAAGCACGTTGTATATCTAAATCAATATTGGATTTCAAATGAATATCCGTCATCGATTACTGGTGTGGCCGAATGGACATCAGGAGAATGTATACCAGAATTATTTTACGATTCGACTATATTTCACTCGATACACGATGATTTGGAATATTTACATATACCAAACTGGCGGGTGGGAAGAGACATTGATAGTAAAATGTTATAAAGTCAGCATAAGAAATACTTAGCTGACTTATGGGATAGATGTGTTTGTCGAAAAACATCGACAGTTATTAGAAAGTCGTGAAGTATCAGTCGACTTACACTTTTGGATTGATCTTGTGCTTGGCTATAAGGTAAGAGTAAGTGCTAACAAATTATTTGTCAACTCTTTTCTTTTTTTTGTCAATCAGTTAACTGGTGAACATGCAATCGAAGCAAAAGTTTTTCTTTGTCATTAGCTGATCATCATGAAAATATTCGAGACATTGATGTTGTACAATTATATACCACTCCTCATCCTGCACATACAACATCAATTACATCATCATCGTTGATTTCAACAACAAGTTCGTGGTCGCTCAAAAGTATCCCTATTATCACACAATCGAATTGAGCATCTTCTGATATACATAGTGAACAAACAAAGCAGACTAGGTAGGTATACTTCAAAACAAATTGTGCTGCGTATTTTTCACATAGAAAACTTATTTTTTAATTTTTAGAAATTCTTTTATTTTACTATTTAAGTCATTGATACAGAATTGTTAGCTTCTTCTTCGATGCGGTTTAATAGTTTGATGTTTTGTACCATTTCTTTGAGCATTTAATATATTTTATTCAGACGTCCGATTGCCGAGAAATGTTTTCTATAGAAATGAGCCCGTATCATTTAACATTTGCCCGAAGTCATGTGAAAGATTTATAGAAGTAAATTTGTATCATCTGGCTTAGATTTTAGCTGAATCGTCTATACAATATACATCTCGATTCATAACTGAAGTGAATATTCTGAGAATTTTTGTCCTACTAAATGGATGCGCTCATTTTCTATTGTTTTGTTCAATACAAATAACTCTTTTTTGCAGTTTTCCTGTAATGACAATAAAATATCTCTTAATTCTAGAAGTCTTATTATAGTGGTGAGAGTCTTTCTTTCATCAAGTTGGATAAATAAATGGAACCAAAACTTTCTCATCTTCTAAAACACGTATTATAGTTCCATATCTTCTATTTTGTTTTTCTCATTATCTGACCTAAAATTGATTAAATCTGTTCTTGTTTCATTATTATACACTCATTTACAAACACTTTTTTCTAAATATCAGAGCAAGTTCTGGAGTAAGTATCATTTTCAATGATCTATTGATTTCGTTATTTAACAAGTTATTATTCATTTAGACGCTATTGACCAATTACTTCGTTTATTATCAGAAACGTTTGCAAAATTACCGACAGAAAGTGAAAAAGTACTTATTTTTATCTCATACAGATAAAAAAGCATCTTATTTATTGATTATTTACTCTTTATAGTTATAATTTGCAATATTATTCTTATTCAACGTATTTCACTTGGTAAGCATCATTTTGTTCCAATTAACACAAATGCCGCTGAATGTTTAACAACTGTTCGAAAACTATTAATTGATCAATGGCATCTTATATCAGCGTACACTGTAAAAAATATAGTGTGCCCGCTAGTGTGCATTCCCTCAAGTGTGCATTTCAAGTCCAAAGTGATGTACAAACTCTCACCGTGTAATCTGAATTTTTATCTTCCATTTCTCTATGAAAAAAAAATGAAAGAATTATTCTTCTCTTCGGTCTTTTTTCTCGTTTTGTCTGTAGAAGCTATATGTGCAATTCCAGGCACATCGAACTAGCCATTTTCAGTGTGCAAAAACAATCCGACGTGATGTGCACATTCAGTGCGCCCCGGGCACACTTTATTTTTTACAGTGTACATATTAATGATTAATGAGATATTCGGGCAGCCGTGCGTCAGCAGATTACTATCAGAGAAAAAACAACTCGATACTGAAAAATTTTCATAATAACATAAGTCGGTTTTATACTACTTTAGATCGTTACCATTTTCATTTTATGTTGATAATTAGTATCGTTTTTTACATGAATTTGAATTAATCGATCGTAAAATAGTCAAACAGGATGATAACATAAGTATTCAACGTCATTTATATTATAAAAAAAGTGAATTTATTAACAAAATCAATATCAAACTTACTATTATCAATGCAGACACATGATTATTATTTAGTGTTTAGAGTATATTACCGTATATACTCGATTCATTTCATCATCTAGTTTATGCTATACAAGTTATTTATCAATTATTTCTTTCTTTCTACTGCATTAGTTCTTGAGCCAGATGAATGTCAAAAGCATTTATTATCATTAATTCTTCCATTATTAAATCCACATAAATGTTCATCATATCATTGGTGATTATTTTCAAAAATGTTTTAATTCAACTAATGTGTTGATTTGATTTAGAAAATTTTTTAAATAATTTTGTTTTTTTATTATCAGATAAATAAATACACTTATTTTCCCTTCTTGTAGGTCAAATCAGTAACACAATGTTTAACTATTCGTCCAGAAGCGGATTTATTAGCAGCATTAGTTCTTTTGAAAGCTGTTTTACCATTCTGACAGATGCATTTTTAATGTAAAATATTATCGGTTATTTAATTACAAAAACTATCATAAACACGTATCTTCGACATTTTATTTAATTAAATTTATAGGGTTTAATTCATCCATTTATTCAATTATTAGAGTCGGCTGGGGGAAATCGGATCAATTTTGGAAAAATCCGTATTGTTTTGATCATAACTCGGTCATTTTTTATCCTACAAAAAAAAGTTTTTCACAGATAGAAAATTTGAACATTTTTCTATCGACTGATGTAAAAATTATTTTAAAATTCATTTTAATTGAATCAGTCAAGCAACGCACGATGGGGTAAATCGGACCACTCTAGCAAAACATCATTGTTTTAACTTTCCCAACTCATTAGCCTTTGATCCTAATTAACGAAAAATTACACCAATCGATAGTCAAACATTTCTCTATGCGATCTGTAAGTTTGACGTCCTTCGAAAAAGACGCCTTGGAGAAAATGAGATTCTACTGAACCTACTCTGCCACTGTTTTCATGTTTTAAAAAATGCAATGGGTAAATCGGATCACCAAGCATTTTTGCTTGGGGCAATTCGGATCAATCCAGCAAAAATGGCTGAAGCTGCGTCAGAAAAGCTCTAGCATCTACCAGAACATTTTTGAAGACTGCTTCTTGAAACAAACTTGTTCATAACACTCTTCTCTATAACATATCGAAAGAATGGAAGAAAAATAAACAAGTTTGTCCAGGATAGATATTCTACAGTGTTCATATGTATTTTTTTCTACCTTTTCCATACATCAGTTAAGTTTTTAATTACTGGCATATCTTAAATACCCATCGACTTTAAAAACCTTTGGTTTTTCGCCTAGAGCGAAACACGCTCTACAAAATGGCATAAAAGCTTTTATTTCATTTAGTGAAGTGCACTAAAAGATGGTAGGATCGAAAGGCGATCCAAATTCAAGGTTACCACACTATTTTTCCTATGGCTCAAATATACATATTTGACGCAGACTTTAACGCTAATCACGAATATCTACTTTTTAATCCTCCCAGTGCACGTCTTCCCTGAAA